AATGACAGGAGGTGATAAACCGAGCTGCTTTATTTTGTACCGATTCTAGCATATCAGATAACAATGCCGTGTGTGGATGCCAGATGGTTGACGCATACTCTAGTGAAGGCCTGATCAGAGCTTGATATGCGTGAAGTTTAGTTTTCAAGTTTGCGCATCTGAGGCGGCGTTTCAAAAGACCGAGTTTTTTGATGATTTGCTGGTGATGTATTCAATGTGACTGTTCCAGGTTAGGTCGGAACTAAAGAAAATGCCGAGGTATTTTGTGGATGAAACGGTCTCAATTACGGTGCTATTGACTATGTATCTGACGGATGATGAGGGTTTGGCTACGGAAGTAAATCTAATATGTTTGGTTTTTTCAGCGTTGATGTGCATCTGCCACAAATTGCACCACTCTGCGAGTTTTAACAAATCTGACTGTAGAATGCTACTGTCATTCGGTTCGGTAATCTCCTTATATATAACGCAATCATCTGCGAATAGGCGTAGAGAAGAAACAATATTAGATCCAATGTCATTGATGTAGACCAAAAATAATAATGGTCCGAGCACGGAGCCCTGGGGGACACCGGATTTTACCATGCACTTTCTGGAAATTATGTGGTTAAGTTTGACCGATTGCGACCGGTTACAGAGGAACTCTTGAATCCATTGGATTGTTTTCTGATCAAGCTGGAGGTTACGGACTTTAGTTATTAATCGGTTATGTTGGACGGGATCAAAAGCCTTTGAAAGGTCTATAAAAATAGCATCTGTAGGAGCAGAGCTATGCATGGATTTGTGCAAGTCTGTCAACAATTCGAATAGTTGGGTGTTGCAAGAGCGTTTTTCCCGAAAGCCGTGTTGGTTTGGGATGAGGATGTTGTTTCTGTTCAAGTGAGATATAATTTTCGAGTAAATGATATGTTCTAATAGCTTGCAAGAAAGAGGTTCTAATAGCTTGCAAGTATCGTTTGGCTTTACAAGATGTGCTTACCACTTCACTACTCATCAGTGTGAAATATACTTAATACTTCACAGAGTAAATATGGGTTACAAAACTGTTACGCAGTGGAATATTTTTAGATGCGAAGCAGCTATTAGACTAGCCTGTGTAACGGTGTCCATCAGTGTCTCCGTGCCAACGCACCGCACCGCGCTCCCGTCACCGCAGGTGTTGGGGCGGTGCCAAGTGAGTCACGCCTTCCTTTGCAGTGCGCGGTCACGTCACTCTCTCCCTCGCCTGCCACGCGCAAGCCACGTGTGCCCTCTCTTTCGGTTGATCCTCTCCACCACTCGCAACGTTCAACCGCACATCAAGTGAATACTCTTTCGGCTCGTTTCTCTGCGATGTAGAGGACGCTGCAAAGCGAAGCTCCTTCACCCGACGAAACATGCACCGAAACGATTTGGCCTAAGCCGGCCGTCGCCGGCGTTGCGAGAGCTAGCAGTGCCGATCGTGTTCGCGCCCGCAACGCCCTTGAGGCGCGAGCCAGGGAAACCGAAGGCAAGCGTCGGCAGTGGGAGACCAACGACACCGAAGAGGTGCGAGTCAAGTCGTCACCCCCGGAAAATCTTTTCAGGCCTGCGCCCAGCAATCTGACGTCATTTCCGGCCGGCCGACTCTCGGGGAAGCCGCAGCGGCAGCGAGCGCAGCGCGGGCGGCGGTGGTGACGGTTCGGCGGCGTGGTGTTGACGGTGTTTCACGTTTGTTGCTTTCCGTTGTTGTTTTGCGGCAATTTCGTTTCCGTGTGTGATGCTGGAGTGATGCGACAATGCCGAATAAGTGTTGTGTACCCGGATGCACCGGCAACTACAAAACAGGAAAGAAGATACAAGTGTTTTCCTTCCCTAAAGACGCCGACGCTCTCAAACAATGGCTACGCGCCATTCCTAGGAAGGACTTCGTGCCGACTTCGTGCACTAAGGTAAGAATTTGAGATGCTCCTGTTCTTAGCTTGTCGTTGCTTGTTCGGGTAGAAATCACCTATGATGGGAAATACTTGAGCGTGTGGCCGCCGGGCCTCGCGAAGCGCTGACGCCAGCAGCGTTCGCAGCAAGGATGGTCAGCTGCGCTTTGTTCACTAACAGTGCCGTGGTGTCGTCCATTCTTGCAAGCTCTCGGTGGAAGCGCTTCGTGGAGTGCGGTGACATCACGCTCCCGTGTTTCCTTTCATGTTGCTTGTACCGCTTAGCGCAGCGCTTTTATTTAGATGCTTGCGAAACGTAGGTAGACTTTGTTTTAGCTACACGGACTGTAAACACGGTCATGCAAACGGGAGCGCATTTTTTTCTTTTGAGAAGTGGCGTCTCAGACGTTCTTGAAACGTTTGTGCAGGTGTGCGCGGATCATTTCGACGCTTCATGCATTGAGAAGACGACATCGTAGACGGATCCAAGGACAGGGAGAGTTATTGAAGTTGCACTCCCAGTACCACGGTTGCGTCCTGGATCTGTCCCAACGGTATTTCCAGGCTGTCCGTCCTACCTATCAGTACGAGACCAGAGCACGAGAGAAACCCCTGACGCCAAGAGGAGCCGACAAGAAGCCTCCCAACTCGCCCGTGCTGTAGAAGAGTCGCTGGCGTCATATGAAGCGGAGCAAGAACGAGACCGGTTTTCGTCCCTCGAAGAACTAAGGGCTCGCCTGCAAGGGGTGTCAGTGTCTCCGAAGTGGACTGTGATTCATAAAGAAGAGTGCTCCATGTTTTTGAACATTATCGACTATCGTGAACCTTGTTTGAATGCGTCATTGACCGTGTTTGCAAACCTTGAAGTCTTTGCCTGCTATCAAGGTTCACCAATCAAGAACCTTGGTAGCGCTGTTGTACCAGACTCAGTTCAAAAAGTAAGTTCCTTGTTGGAAATTTTGAACAACCTGTCGATGCTGTCTGAGGAGCGCTGCACTTATTGCCACCTGGCTCAAGCAATACATTCCCTTGTTTGAGCCTTGTTTCCAGTTTTGTATCTCTTTACAAGTTGTTAGCTTTTAAAGGTGCTGTACTTTTTTCTTTTTTTTAACTCTAACTGCCTCGGTGCCCACTGTAGCAGTTGTACAGTCCGTTTTGGTACCTAAGCTGTGTACACTTTCCTTGTGCACTCTGTGTACAGACATGTTGTGCACTGTGATTTGTTTTTTCTTAGATTTTTGTTTGATTTTTTTCCTAGGACATGCACCTACCTGTGGCAGAACAATTACTTTTCTTTCTGTCATTTATCATGCTGTGGACCACAATTTAGTCACAAGTGTTCTTATGTATTGTATCTTTTGGCAAGTGTTTGAACCTGATACCTTGTGTTGCTACTGCTACTATGATAAACGAATGGTATGTTTTCCTCTAACCTACAATTTAAATGAAAGTGTGTTTTTTCTGTTCCAAAGCTCGGGGATGTTTTTGCTGTTACAATCTGTTTTGTTTTCTGAGTTTTATGTGGCAAGATATTGTGTTTTGTACTTTTGGCATATTTTCAGCATTAAGGGCAACATCTTGTGTTGCCTGTCGTCTGCCTGGACCGAGAACAATGTGCACTGTGATATTTGTACAGACGGCGTCTGGCTGTGATAAATAAATACGCATTATTCCATTCACGATATTCATTATTTCTTGATACCTTGATAAGTTCCCCCGCAACGGTGGCTCAGTGGCTAAGGCGTAGCGCTGCTGAGCACTAGGGCGCAGTTTCGATACCCGGCTGCGGCGGCCGCATTTCTGATGGAGGCGAAAAGCAAAAACGCCCGTGTGTACGAGATTTCGGCACACAATAAAGATTCCCAGGTAGTAAAACTTGATCCTGAGCCCTCCCCTACGGCGCGCTTCATCGCCTGCGTTGCGTCGGCGCGTTAAACCATACAATCAATGGATACCTTGATAAATCGTGCGGACATGGTGTCAAGGAACCTCGCCCGAGTCGGTAGGCGTGAAGGGCGCTCGCGGCTGGCGCAGCCGCCCAGCGAAGGGCGGCCGGCGCGATGTGACGTCGTCGACGTCACGTCACGTGACGCGCAGGCCTGAAAAGCTTCCGGGGGTGACGGTCAAGTACGCCGATCGCGTTCGAGGATGGAGAAGGCACGCAGGTAACACCGACGAGACCCGAACCAAGAAAGCCGAGCGCAAGTGTCTTCAATACGTCGGCAACACCTACGAGACGCGAGCCAAAGAAGCAGAGTGGAACCGCAGACAGCGAAACGCCAACGCCGGCGAATCCTCGATGTCATCGTCCACTCGAAAGCGCCGCGCGCCTTCCACTGAATCACCCGCCAAATCGCCATGCGCAACTCTGCGGCTTCACATCGCATCAGGCTTCCTTTGGAATGTTGTTAACTTTTTTAGTCATTCTTCCACTTCACATATAAGAAAATAGAGCCCGTCGTTCATTGATTGTATGAAGGGTGGAACTGTATATATTGTGTCTAAGCATTCACCGTACCAGCCTCTTTGAAAGAACCCGCAGAAAACATCGCATAATGGCTATACTAGTGGCGGACGATTCATCTTAGATCTTGTAAAAATAATTCGCCATACCTAGATATCAAGTGTCCAAGTGCGTTTACTGGGCACGTTCGCGGTGGCGTTGAACAGTGCAAGTAGTTTTTCTCAAACGACTTTTTGTCTTGGTTATTATACTTATAAGATCACTTCTGCGTCAAAAGTAAAGCACTGCTGCACCACAGTACCACTATTCTTCAATGCACCGTTAACTATTTGTGTTCACGCAGTGATCATTCAGTCAGTGAGCTATGAACTTTTTACGGACCAGTTCACTTCCACCATATTGGCCTGTTAATCTTTGAATTTTGCATATTTAAGAAATAAACGAACAGTGTTAGAGTAGACACATACAAAGAAAAGAAGGATTGGCGTGGTGTGCACGATGTTTTATGTCTTCATTTGTTTACGTCGCAATATACAAAAGCAATAAAACATCGGCTCAGCCCGAAATGGCGGTGCCCATACGTTTTAGGTAAAAAGTCTATAGCCACTGGCAGCAAAGCATATCGAGTGCAAGAGTGTTCTCACCTGTGCTGCTTCGGGCGTGTGTATTCCTGCGACGGGCGTGAAGACCACATATCCTTTCAGCGTCTTTCCTTCGTATTGCTTGCAGAGTTCGCGTACTGCAGCAAACACGGCTGCGAAGACGGAAAAAAGTGTGACACGAGCAAAAATGTGTGCTGCTCGAGGACGTGTGCTGTGAAGCGTGATCTAACTTGAAAGCTTTCTAGCCACTATTTTTTCTATCTTTTTTTATTTCTCTCTCTCTCTCTTTTTAAGTGGTCGCGATATGTGTTGTTTCATATTGTCAGCATGCTCAGGCCCACAAATCCTTATAGCTTATTTCAACTAAACTTGTTTGATCCTGCGTTTATTGACATTTTTGCATGTGTCCACAACTTATTTGTCTTTGCGTCTGGACTATTACTTTGTTTTTTCCTTCTTTTCTTTCCATTTATTTACTCTTATATTTATTTTTCTTATGTTCCCACTTCCCGAAGAAGCAGGAAGGTGTTTGTGCCCCTGCAGGTGGCAGTTCTCAGCTTATTCTCCTTCCTATTTTCTCTCCTTCTTTGTGTTTGTTTGTATGCAAATCATAGAGTTATAAGCAATATCCGTCAAAACTGTTTCCTAATTTCTTTTTTGCTGAGACAACATACAGCGAAAGCCTTGTGGAAAAAGAAATGATGACAACACTAGCACTAACAACAAATTTTTCTCGTGCTTCTAAGAAGTATTCCTTACGCATGCCTGGTCCGAATCCGCTATTTTATAAGCACTTTCATTATTTCGCACAGTTTCGGAACTCTTCTAGTTCATCGTGGCTACCCTTGTAGCCATTTGCATGACCTGCACCAAAACAGCTACTGCAATTCGCTCATGGGTGGTTCAAACTTGATGCGCACTACGCCATATATTAACACATAAAAAAGCAAGGAGCTCCAATCTACGAGGGCACATCACAGTGTAACAAAGTTTGGCATCGTTGGATAATAGCAGGCACTCTTAGTCACTTGGCTAACAGAACAAACTATCAAAAACATCAAATAACACTCTCGCTAAATCACTAGAAACACTAAATATTGTTAAAGTACTGCACATACGGTTAAAGTACTGCACATACCTCTAGAAATTAAAAAAAAATGTAGTTGGAATGACTTCAATGTCTAATAGTAATATTTGGGGTTTTACTCATCATTCACTTCGTGCATATGCTGTGATTTTCTTTTTTTGTAGAGTTGTTCCTAGCAGTTAAGATGTCGTAGAAATCGAGCTTATTCTCCGCGCCGAGAGTGTGCCTTTCCCTCGCTGGTTAAACGCCGACAAAGAGTTTCCACCGACTCGCTTAGGGCGCGTGGTGTTTTCTGCACTTGCCTCAAACTTTGAACTTATTTATTGCATTCTGGTACCTATTGTCATTGGAAATTGTTATATCTAGTCATCTGGGAGCATCAAAGGTTTCATACCCACCCCTCGAAAAAGTGTGTGCTGGGAGGGCACAGCTGAGCAATACTGCCACAAAGTTAGCTGCCAGAATTGGCACGGCAGCATGCCCACAATACTAAGTAACATGAAGCCCACCAAGCTATTCGGGCGTTTCTTTTTCTCGGCGACAATATGTCAGAAACAGGCATTCGCTCTGCCGCGTACTAAGAGCAATTCAATAAACTATTTCCTGTGTCACGCGAAAGTGCGAATGTCTTATGTTTTTCATGATGGGATAATCAGGGTTAACAGTGGAAGTGCCTCTGGCCGACGTTTTGATAGGAGGACCTATCTTTTTTAAAAGCTGCCTTAGAAAAAGATAGGTCCTCCTACCAAAACCTCAGCCAGCCAGTCTGAGGCACTTCTACTGTGAACCCTAATTATCCCACTACGTTGTTTCCATGTGTCAGCTGCCATCTAGATTTTGAATATCTATTGTATGTCGTATGTGCAGGAGCGGTCACCTGCCTTTTAGGTGGTGACGTGAGGCAGTTCACCTATTCTGCTGCGCACAAGTTTTGTGTGCCTTTCGCAGTGCAAGCTTCATTTTGATCATTCCGCTGCTCTATAAGATTAGCGTCATGGTGGCAGTGGTAATGTGGATATGTTGGCGACGCTTAGCGCATGATGCTGTTTTTAGTTTCTTCTGTCTCATCTCGTGGGAGGCAAGCGATAGTGATGTGTGAGTGCTCTTTTGTGTGTGTGATCGCAGCAGGGCAGCTATGTTGTGCAGCAGCATACATTCCCAATCATATTCTTAAATTTTGAAAACAGAATAATTTCGCCAGTATATTGGTACCCCATGCACGACAGCCCCGCAGAAAGCGTGTCTAGACCGCCCTGTCAGGTGTTGACGAGGATCTATAGTGTACACTGTGATTGCGACGCTTGCTGTTTTCAGCATTTAATTTCTCTGGGGTCTGCACACAGTTCAACCCTTTGAAGAGTCCTTGTACAGCTTAGTGAAGACTATGCCAAGCGGCAACTTCGTTGTATTTATTTGGTTTCTAGAATAGCCCGGACACATAAACTAGGAGCAGTAAAAAAGATGAAGAAACGGAAAAAAGAAAAAAAAGTATACACCATACCTTTCCCAGCTGTTTAGCAAATGTGAATGTCTCTAAAAATAAGTACTGGGAATCGCCGGGGCCTAAGGACCACACAGAAGCAGAAGCCAGTTGTTATATCAGCCAGAAAACTACAGCGCGACATTTATTGCATGCAGAAAGCAGATTCGTTGAGCAAAGCTAGGGAACTAGGAAAGCAGTTCTCTGCTCGCGCTTTTTTCTCATTCCTCGCGCAATAACCGTGGGGCACAGCCATAATTATGTTTAACTTGTGTCTTGACGGGGAATCGAAACGCAGTTAAAATGGCCTGTTAAAATAGGTGCTTCCTTTGCAGGAGCATCGAGCTTACTTTGCTGTAAAAGCCTTCCATTGCTTCACTTTTACCGGTGCGCATCTGCTAGTTAACCTAAACTGCTCCATTTGAAACTTAAAGTCAAACGCAACAGGGATCACTTCACCTTCATCCCAGATGGTCGAATTGTATCGTTTGACTTTGAGTTTCGAATGGAGCAGTTTAGGTTAACTAGCAGATGCGCACCGGTAAAATTGAAGCAATGGAAGGCTTTTACATCAAAGTAAGCTCGATGCTCCTGCAAAGGAAGCACCGATTTTAACAGGCCATTTTAACTGCGTTTTGAATATTTTTAACAATAAAGCGCCCCAGGTTGGGAAAAAAGAAGCATAATTCAGAATTTAAACAGAAAGTAGAACAATTCAAACTATTAGGCGCATATAAACACACAGGCTCGCCTTGAGCGAGTGTGTGTGACTCCGTCCCTGGAGGCAACGGTTGTAGACTGTGAGGTGATTGACCCTCCCTCATACGCCTTGGGAATATCATATCACAGGTTGGGTGGTAGTGTCTCTCGAGGTTCAAGGCAGGTCGTCTTACCGTCACCCATGTAACGATGAGACGGTGAGGGCCAATTTGTGCAACCGTTTGGCAGCCCCCACATAGGCAAGCATAGATGGGACGCTCTCAAGCAGGTGTGGCGATAAATCTGTGCCGACGAAGGTAAAAAGTTGAAACACCGGTATTCTGGTCTGGTGATAGCAACGCTCCAGCGCATCTGGATAGTCGAAAGAGGGGAATGCACCCATCTTCTTACAAACACCTATGGTATTGACTTCGAATTTAATCATATGGTGCTTTTGGCACGTTAAATCTCACATATTAATCAATGACTTGAAATTAAGATTAGCACGACTGAGTATGCTCACGTTCACTGCGGCTAACTTCTACCAAGCCGCATACCTTCCTAGATTATATCCGGAGGTCGTGATTTACAGCACCAGACTTGAGAAGATGAAAAACCGCGGTAATTTGAGCCGACATGACATTGCTAGGTTTCACGCACATTTTCAAAATATGGGCACACATAAACTACAACTTCACTTATAATCGCTTCTTAATCATCCGTTTTAAAGTAATCTCCCGTAATCCTCTGACGAGGAGAACTGCCGTTTAGTCGCTCCCATAACCCTAGAGGAGCTCACAACGACAACGCGTCACCTCTATAGAGGTTCTGCACCGAAAAGCGATGACCTAACTGTTGAATTTTACAGTACAGTCTGGGACGTCATAGGACCAACGCTGCGTGCGGTGCCGAACATATTTATGAGTAGGCACACGCTCCCCCCATCGTTTAAGAACGGCAGGATCATCCTGCTTCCGAAGGCACTACAGCACCTCGAGGACTCGTGTAATTGATGCCCTATTACGTTGTTAAGGGCCGACTACGAAATGTTTACCAACGTCCTAATCCTGAGTTTACAGGGAGTCATGCTCTCGCTTGTCACATTTTGGCAGTTATGCTCGGTGGTGGGCTGTAATGTCCAAGCCGGGAATATGCTCAACAGGGGTATTATATAATACACGAGACAGAGGCCAGCGAGGGGATGGTGCACCTTCCTTGGCCAGTAAGGGGAATTCGACAGAATAGAGTATGACTACATTTTCTCCACTCTGCTCGCGTTCGGTTTTCCTAGACAGTTTGTGTACTTCATAATGGGTCTATGTAATGACACTGATGGTGACATCAAAATAAATAATGAAGTTGTAGCTTCCTTTCCAGTAACCAGAGGAGTAAGACAGGGTTGCCTTCTTTCGCCCCGTTGTTCTCGTTCACGATAGAACCTTTTTTGAATAAGATAAAAAAACACCAGAGTGCTCTCGGTTTGAAAACCCTCGGCTGTGTACCGTAACTGCTTACGCAGACGACATAACGATATATCCTAGAGACGAGGGCAGAGTCATGGCTTACCCAAAGTTTTCTCAGTATATGCTATAAGCTCTTTTGGGCGAAAGTTAGTATGCACAAATGTAAATCTTCACGTCTTCACGTCTCGCCGCTAAGATGCCTTCACGGCATTTCCGTTGTAGATAAAGTGTGAATTCTTGAAGTAAGCTATCAAGACGGCGGAGCGACCAGCGAAAGCTGGGAGGAGGTGGTGAAGGCGCTGAAACAGCAGATCAACAGTGTCCTAGAGTTTCATTTCGCTTACCATGTACACCAGTATTTACTCATGAGCATCGTTACTGGTCGCCTCTAGTTTTTCTTCAATTCACTAGTGTCACACCTGT